TCGAAACCGATCGGACCCCGAGGTTCACCCAGCCTCTAGGAAATGGGTACCAGAGTTAACACTCTGGGGTAATTGGAGGAACGTTCTTGTAGCTACGGAGTTGCGTGCGGATGGGTGACACAGGCGGACAGTTTCTTATCAGCTGTCCGTACTGGTGGCAGAGCACTTATGGTTTATACCCGTGTGCAATGACGCTGGTTCACATCTCCCGACTTGACTTGACTTTTACTTTTCACAAGAAGGATTGAATAAAATAACCCGTAACTAGAAAGCTCATTAGAGGGAACATCAGAGGGAACATCAGAGGGAACATTAGAGGGAACATCAGAGGGAACATTAGAGGGAACATCAGAGAGAATAGAAAAGACGTGCACGATCACAACCGAACGTTTCGACCAAAGTCTTTATCAACGGAGTACTAAATGCAGCATAAACTCTGATAGGAAAACTCAATGTGAAAGATAATAGAGCTTCTAACCAAGTTAAATAAGAACATCTACCCATTACTGAATTCTTGGTTTCATGCTGATCTCAGTCTTAGAAGCTCTGTTGTCTTGTTTGTTGAGTCTTTTAGTCACATCTTGTTGTATTTAGTACTCCGTTGATTTGGTCACAATGTTTGTTTGCATTTGTGTGTGTCTTTTCTATTGCATGCGCTGAGCTTTCTAGTCACATTTGGTGTCATATATCACTAACTACCGGGGACCTCTGAATCCATGCTTGCCATTCAGAACGGAGTATGGAGCACCCACAAATCTTGCCATCTTTTAGGGATGCAATTTTTCGTTATTTGAAGCCCTACTCTGGCTCTTGTCAGGGGCTGCAATATAGCCTTTCCATTAATATAGCCTAATGGCTGAACGCAGTTTCTGGGACCTCTCCGCGGTGATCCTCATTCACATGGTGGCATTTTGTGTTATCGGGTGTTTATCGCTTGTGTGATGTCCTGGTGGCGTAGAAAGTCAGTCAGTCAGAACGGAGCATTACTTTGTTCACTTTTCAATGCATGATGTTTGAGTCTGTCACGATAACAATATGCGTGTGCAGGTAAACCAGCAAAAGCTACTTTGACTGCCTCCACCTCCATTCTCTAACTGGATGTTGTGGTATCATAGTCTAGGCTTTGTTGTACGAAGCGACGCTCATTCGATTTTGCAATAAAATACAATGCTTTCTGTTAATCTATCTGTATAAATGATGCATCTGTTGGGCAGAAATTGTCGTAAATCAGTTGTTGGAACTCTGCGCAATGCGTGCTGGACACTCACTCCACAGTCCGATAATCCTACACAAGTCTGAGCTGTATTCTGAAACTTTAACCTACACCCTTCTGGTTAAATGTTTTCAAACCTACACACATGAAATATATCTTCTGCTTACACATTTGAAGACTGTCCTTTCATCAGCATGTGTCTCTTAGCTGTCTAGGACGGTTCATTAGAGTTGTGTTTTTGTGTGTTTGTCTGCGGCAACCCCGAGGAATGACTTCGCTTACCATCTGTTTGTATAATGAACATATAGCTGCAACGACTGTCAGTGTATTTCTATTTATTGCCATCTTCTTTGCCTGGTGTGCTGTGTTTGTATATGACCATATCTTTCCTAGGATGGGATGACAGCTTTGCACCTGGCTGCCAAACATGGACACATCAACGTGATGAACGAGCTGAAAGGTTACATTCCATTTAACACCACCAGTGCCAAGGTTAGCCACGTGTTTATTTACTTACCTCTTTGAGTCTCAGTGGGTTTAGCATCAGAGACCGAAGGGGTAGTCAAGCGAGATGCAAAATCGTCCCATCTTGCGTTTATTGGGTCTCTAGGCGGGAACATATGAACGTTTGATGCGTTTTTTGTGACTCAAAGAGTTAAAGTGTATTGTCATTTATTGTATGTGTGTGTGTGTGTGTGTGTGTGTGGTTTTTTCTTGGGGGGGGGGGTGAGGGGGGGGGGTAGCCACTGCCTCGTGAACAAAGTTTCATAATCCCAGTTTGATCCGTAAGGGATTTAGTAACAGACTGCTTTGCACTGGGTTTGACAACGATTTGAGCTCTGTACCGCTGAGATAGTAATGGCTAAACGAAACTGTTCCTAATGAAAACATTAACAAACGATGAATACTGGGATAGGTTTTGCAAAGTCCTGACAAGAACAAGCAACTGCTTATTGTAATTTAAACAACAAAAACTTTTCAACCAGGTGGGTTATAACTAAGCTTCTGCTTCGTATGTGGTAAGTTTCGATATTATATAAATCTCTTGTCAATTACTTTTGTTATTTAATATTGTATAAATTATGTATTAATTATAACAGATTGTATGGGCATAGATTGCTATGTTTTATATATTTTAAGAGTACTTTTTAAATCAATGTGACATTCATTGTTTAATCTTTCTTTGGGAATATTCAAAGTGTTCTGTGAAACCAGTTTTCTGTCTTAATTTAAATTAACTCCTCATTTACAAATCTTTGTTGAAACCTTGCCCACGATTCTCTGCCA